TGTGTGAGCAGTTAACTATTAGAATGTGTGAGCGATTCTGGAGAGTTATTTAAAGAATGTGAGATATTTGAAAAAAAGATTAAGTAGAAAAAAAATGAATAAAAATTGAAAGAAAAAAAAAATGGGAAAAAGGGTGTTTTGATATTTAAGAGGCAAAACGATCAACAAAATGCGTGCATCAAAATGGCATGTCTCCTTTATTAATAGTATCAAAAAAAATTAATTATCTTAACTTATACGTATGTATGTATAGGAGAGATTCACTTACTTCAAAAGTAAGTCTTGTTAGACTTACTTAATTCAATAACTTATGTTCTACATCATATTTCAGTGATGCAATTGTTAAATTAAAAGTTTTTAATGCATAAATAATGTCTACACTTAAAAAAAAATTATTTGATATTTCGTTTCATTGTTTCAAATTGACCGATAATCATAAAAACATTTTATACATTGATTTGAATTTTTATAATGAAGTATCATATGATTTTCAAATTTTTGAAAATTTAGTAGACTTGATATATACATTAAGAAATTTTAATTCAACAATTGAATTATTGAAATTTGATATAAAATATGTGTTATTAAGTAGAGTAAGTCTACCAAGATTTACTGTTTATATAAGTGGATCATTTCTCTCTCTCTCTCTCTCTCTCTCTCTCTCTCTCTCTCTCTATATATATATATATATATATATATATATATATATAAAGGAGGGATCCATTTACTCCATTCAATAACTCTTTGTAACACCCAACTTTTATTTTTATTATTTTATTATTATTATTATATTATTAAAGGTATTTTCGTAAATTTATTAAAGTTATAGGGATAATTTGGTAACTTGGAACGGGCTGTTCCAAAAATGGAACGGGCGGTTCCAAGCATTAAAAATGTGTTGTTTTTGTTGTTGCAGAACGGCCTTGGAACGGGCCGTTCCGGAAGAAGAACGGGCCGTTCCGGAAGAAGAACGGGTCGTTCAGCTGAGATGGAGAACGGGCCGTTCTGGTTTCAGAACGGGCCGTTTTGCTTTTTGGGAACGGGCCATTCTAGTTGAAAAATTTTCCCATGTTTGAAGGATCCGGAACGGGCCGTTCCGAAATCAGTACGGGTCGTTCCGGGTGCGTCAGATTGCCTATAAATAGGGGCAAGGGGGTGAAAATTTTATACAGAGTAAGAAAGTGAATTCCTAGAGAGAGAAAGAGAAGAGAGAGAGAGAGAGAGAGAGAGAGAGAGAGAAAGAAAGAAAGAAAGAAAGAAAGAGAGAAGGAAAGAAAAAAAGGGAATCCAGAGGAAGAGACCCTGCCCAAGTTTCAACTCCGCTTATCCAGGTAAGGATCTTATCTCTAATAGATGTGGGACTTAAGTTTTTTCTAATAAATAATTGTCAGCTTGTCGCTAATAATAAACTTTAGTGTAATATAAATATATTTTTAGTAACTATTATATATTAGCCATTAATATTTTTATATATGACGACAATTAAATTATTATTATTAAATAATTATCGTTAGTAATAAAATTTGTTGTAGTGAGTACTTGCGAGAGTGACAAAGCTAGAAAGGTTTTATTGAAGTGTGTGATTAAATTATTTACTGTTCGCACCATTTTTGGGTAATCATTCTTT